TCCTCAGAGTACTCTGATGAGAAAGTACCTCCTCGATCATGTCGGTCAGAGCCTTGTTGCAGTTCTCAAACCTGGTCTTCCACAGACTGGACTCTTTCTCCAACTTCTTCATCTTGTCCGACATCTGAAACAAACAAAGTTTGAAGCTAAATGTTAGCTGGACATAGGCTAGTGGCTACACGAGTGTAGAATAAAGTTACTGTGTAAAGAAACAGGAGAAAGCTAAAGGTTAGCCATCAGCTGCACCAGAAATAAGAGTGAAATTTGGTCAAACTAAAAAAGATTTAATTTAAGTAAAATCCAGTAAAATCACTAAAACACAGCTGTGTGTGTGTGTGCGTGTGTGCGCTCACTCACGTTCTCCATCTCTTTCTTGAATCTGACGTAGATCTCATTGCTTTTGGCCAAAGTTTCCTGGAACTCATCGAACTTCTGAGCATAAAGAGTCAACTGAGGAAGAGGAGGAAGAGGAGGAAGAGGAAACATGTCAACACTTAAACAAAGGTTTCAGATTTGAAATGTTGTCTTTTGTTAGATTGTTATAAAATCAAAGATGATTCAGATGAAACGTCAGTGTTAAACCACAGAGACAACTCTGTTGCTACTGGAGCCAGCTAACCAAGCTAACAGCTAACTCACAGTTAGCAAGATAATTATAAAAACAACAGAGAGCTTGATTCACAGATTGAACAGATTAACAAAAGTATACGTTAGATCAGACGTGTTGAATGTTAGCTAAATGTTACCTGGTAGAATAACAGCTAGAGGTTAGTCAACAAGATGGTTAGTTAGTCAACAAGATGGTTAGTTAGTCAACAAGATGGTTAGTTAGTCAACAAGATGGCTGAATGTTGGTTGGTGGGATGTTGATAAGGTTAGTCAGAAACGTCATTAAAGGTGAGTCACGGCTAGCAAACGTTTAGCCAGAAAGATGGCTAACTTAGACAACTATTAGCATGTGTCCGGCTATCAATGCTGGAAGTAAAAAGCTAAAAGCTCTGTCTCTGCTGCTGTGAGTGGAATTTCAGAGAGTGCAGCTAAAGGAGAGTTCTAGCGTGCTGTAGATTCACCTGTGCCTGCATGACAGTGGCCTGATCTCTGAGTGTGTGAGTCTGCAGTTTCCACTCAGCAGCCTGAAGCAGTAACTGCTCACAGAGGAGACAGAGACAGAGCAGCGTTAGAAGACGTTACCTTCTTCTTCATGGTCAGCTCCTGCTCCTTCATAGCGCAGCAGCTCTTTGTTTTCTCAATAGCCTCCCTGAGAAGCTACACAGACAACACAGAGTCAGCCTGTGGCTAATAGTTAGCATCCAGGCGGAAAGATGAAACAGAAGAAAATTAATGAAAGCTAAATGTTAGCTTAAAATGAAGTAGAAATGTTGACCTAAGATTAAAAACCCTTTGTTAAATCAGCCATTGATCATTAAACAGTTCCTGTGATTTTAGAGAAAAAAACCAAACGTTATTTTCGGAGAACAGGCTAAAAGATGAGGGGGAGAAGATCGGAGCCATGGAGGAATTCTGAAAAGCAGGAAAGAAGAAATACTTGGATTCTCACTGAATGAGTTTTACTAAACAAGAGTTGGATTCTCACATATTCCTTCTCCCTCTTGTGTTTGTCCTCAGCAGCGGCTAACAGAGCATTAGCCTCCTGCAGCTTAGCCTCCGTCAGTTTGTGCTGAAGTTCCCGGTGGCGGTCGATCTTCTCCAGATTCTACAGGACCAGAGCAGACGTCAGTCAACTACAGGTGACAGATTCACTGTTAGCTGTTAGCTGTTAGCTGTTACAAGTTAGCTCAGAAAGAGACAAATGCTGACAGAAAGTGCTAGAGCTAAGGGTTTGATCAAATTTGATTTAAAGGTACAGCTAAAATAAAGACAAGCTAAGAGTAAGCACAGAAAAAAATGAAAGCTAATGCTAACATTTAGGTACTTCTGTCATCTTTAGCTCTTCCCTCCTGACCCCTGACCTCACCTCTTCCCTCCGGTCACACTGACTCATCATATTTTCCAGTTTGTCCGTCAGGTTGGCGTTTTCGCGGCACAGCTTGTCGTTGCGGGCGCTGTGCTGCTCGATCTGAGCTCGGATCTCATTCAGCATCTCTTGGAAGTGAGATGTGATCTCGTTCCTCTTCTCCTCATCCTCACTGCGCCGCTGCAGCGCCTCCTCCTGGACATGCCACAACAATTTACATTTAAAGAAATTTTCCCATTTACCTGTCACGAGGTTGTATTGCCTCACCCTGAGTGTGTTGTGGTGAGACTGCAGCTCTTTGCACAGAGTCTCCAGTTTAGAACGAGCTGCTACGCTGCTGCTGCGCTCGGCCTCCAGCCGGGACAACTTCTGCTGCAGGAGGTGGAGCTGGTGCTGCTCACTGGACCGCAGGTCGGCCTGTCCACACACACACACACACACACACACACAGGTGAGGGGACTGTGGGATTACCATGGAAATAGTAACTGAAAATGAAACCTCTCTGACCAGGTGAGAATATTTCCTCAGCAGAACTTCCAGCTTCTCCTCAGGTGAAGACAGTTGGTCCAGACTGTGTGTGAGGACAGAAACATCTGCACACACACACACACACACACTGAGGTCAGTCTGTGTGTGTGTGTGTGTCATGGTCGTCTTTGTTCTCTACTCTTACCTGTCTCCACCGTAGCTGTGATGTCATCTTTTGGCCCCTCCTCCAGCCCACACTGACAACATAATGTGAAGATGTTCAAAGATTGAGTTTCAGTCATTCTGGTCTGGTTCTGTCCAGGTCCACTCACCTGTTGGTCCAGGAGACCGGACGCAGAACCATGAGTGCTGATGATGTCATCCAGCCGTCGACTGAACTCCACGATGGGTTCAAAGACATCACAGGAGGAGGAGGAGGAGGAGGAGGAGGAGGAGGCTCCTTCCATGTTCTCCTCATCCTGCAGAGAAGAGGAGGAAGTGGACGTTCTCCTCGTCCTGCAGAGAAGAGGAGGAAGTGGACGCCATCACTTCAGGCTGAGGCGTCACCAGCACGTCTGCTGTCACCGACGTGTCCATGCCCAGGCTGCAGGACCAGAGGTTGGTTGTTTGGTTGGTTGGTTGGTTGGTTGGTTGGTTGGTTGGTTGGTTGTTCATCAAAATGTAAAAAAATATAAATAAATCAATATCTATATCTAACACAAAGAACAATTTAAATACATTGTTCTGACCGTACTGACTGTGTTAGATTTATATGACTTAGCTCCACCTACAGGCCAGAGCAGGAACTACACATTCAATGCTGACAGAATAACTGTAAAAAACTACAGGGAGGAAACAATGATAAAATTATGTTTGATGTTTTCAATAGTGTGTGTGTGTGTGTGTGTTTATCTTCACAGCTCTCACAGTGACGCCTGTAACTGTCATTGTATCTTCTGAGTTAAAATTAGCCTATACACACACACACACACACACCTGTTGTGGGATCATCTGTTGGAAAACCATCCAAATATGGAAGAAATGTCCCTCTAACACACACACACACACACACACACACACACAGAAACACTATTGTGTCATATCATGCTAATCTCAACAGCTGGCCTCAAAAAATAAATTTAGGCTCCACCCCCTTTAGCTTAACTAGCTGGTGCCATATGATCATATGTGAACATAACAATCCAATGACATGACTTGTCATATAGCTGTACAGTGTTAGCATGTTAGCATTCTGCCAGGATTAGCCAATACTGGGCAGAGAACACACTTTGACCTAAGACGGCATTAGCTTTGATGTGGCTGTGAAGTTAATGTTAGCATAGTTATGCTCCGAGCTACGATAAGACGCTCCACTTCAGCAGATAAATCAGTTTGGAGCTAATCTCTTTGAACTTAGCCAGTATTAGCATTATTAAAACTATTGAATGCTGCCACCTGTAGCTAGCACATTAGCATTTTTGTAAAAGAGGAGTTAGCCGTTCGATGTTAGCTCGTCTTACCTCGCCGTACTGAGCGTTTAGCTGATGATATGAACACACAGTAAAACTCTGTCAAAGTCGGATCTGAATCCTGAGACATTTGTTTAAAAAATAAAACTTCAAACATAAGAAACAACAAAACTTTATTCTAGTGAAAAGTCACTTCTCTATAGTTCAAATAAAGGAGAGGAAAGAAGTTGTCTTACCACGATGAGAGGAGTAAAGAGGAGGTGAAGAGAAAAAGACGGAGGCATAGAGGGAGGACGGAGGAGGTCCTGGGGGAGGGAGAGGGGACAAACAACAGCTGACTCCCAAAATAACCAGCAGGGCTGTGTGTGTGTGTGTGTGTGTGCGCGTGCTGCATGTGTCGACTGCTGCCCAATAGCGCCCTCGGCTGGTGCAGGGTTAACAAAGGGTTGCGACCCTCATGTGGAGACTCCAAACCTGAGTCATAGCTTTAGCATTAGCTTGTTCCTGGGCTAACCATTAAATATTAAATCAATACAATGTTTTCTCTTCATTTTTGAATCTTAATCATCATTTAATATTATTGATTAAAATTAGTCACAATACTTTGATCAGGTTTTTAGTATTGATTTGTGTGTTTGATTTAGCTTTAGTTTTCTATTGTTTCTGATAAATAATTAGTTTTGGATAATGTGACAATTTTACCTTTGTAACCCGTTTTTAACCCAGTCTCCACACCAAGGCTATTTAACTTTAACCCACCAGGGGGCGATCCTAACTGTTGTAGACACACCGTGTTTTGATCACTGTCACAGGACTAACCCCCCCCCCCCCCCCCCCCTCTTCTCTCCCTCTCTTCCTCCCACACATCCTGACGTCAAAGTCTACACACACGTCACCGTAGTTCAGAGAGTGTTTTATCAGCGCCTCCTCCTTGGCCTGATGAGCAGCAGCAGAAATGTTGGCTTGTTCTGACGGAGTCTTTCATCCACAGACAAGTGTTTACTAACACAAAGGTGGAGTCTGTAAACCAAAGTCCATTAAGAAAACCAGTGATTTTAAGATGACAGGCACCAGTGTATGGTGGAAAAAATATCTTAGCATTTCATGTTGTTTTAAAGAAAAGGTTAACGACTAGAAACACTGTCATTTATTCTATTAAAAAGTCATCACTAGTTACAAAGTAAGGATCAGATGTCGACTGTAATTCAGCTCTTCAACAGTGGTGGCGTTTGTTTCTGATAATCTGCCTGTAATCTCTGATCTCTCGAGGACATGAGACAGAAAACTTCCTGGAACCTGAAACTGTTCCCCAACTAACCGCTAGATGGGAGTGCTGCCTCAGAGAAGAACATGGAGTCACCGGGCTGGAATTCAAGTGAAAAACAAAGTTTCCATGACACGAAGGTAATGATGGGAAACTTTAACAGAGAAGTAAACGTGGACTGAAGTCAGAACCTGCTGAGGCTGATAATGAGATACAGCTGTTGATACGGCTGCTCACCCCACTCTCCCCCAGACAGAAGTCCATGGAGAAAATCAGAGATTTTAGTTCAGACCAAACCTCATGGAGAAAATCAGAGATTTTAGTTCAGGCCAAAGTCCATGGAGAAAATCAGAGATTTTAGTTCAGACCAAAGTCCATGGAGAAAATCAGTGATTTTAGTTCAGACCAAAGTCCATGGAGAAAATCAGAGATTTTAGTTCAGGCCAAAGTCCATGGAGAAAATCAGTGATTTTAGTTCAGACCAAAGTCCATAGAGAAAATCAGAGATTTTAGTTCAGGCCAAAGTCCATGGAGAAAATCAGTGATTTTAGTTCAGACCAAAGTCCATGGAGAAAAGCAGAGATGTTAGTTCAGACCAAAGTCCATGGAGAAAATCAGAGATTTTAGTTCAGTTCTTCAGTTAATTTTATTTGTTTTGGCAAAACATTAATCTTTATTTGGAACAAACTGTGAACATTTTATTTGTTTTGGCAAAACATTATTTTAATCTTTATTTGGAACAAACTGTGAAATTCTTGAAAACACTGCAGTGCCAGGAATGTGTGTGTGTGTTTCTATCATACAACTTTTCACGCTCAGTTTAATGACACAGCCACACACCCATCTTTGCAGCAGTGTTAAAGGGACAGTTCAGTAAATAACACCTCAAAAATAATAAACATATAGACTGATAGAATGACATCACTCCCCAGGGGAAATGGGTTTCTATGCAAATTCACTGTTGGAAATCTTCTGTTCAGATTCACCTCAGTGACAGAGACTGGCCACAGGAGGCAGCAGAGGACCAGCAGCTGCTGTGTTTCTGTGAACTAAAATCTCTGATTTTCTCTCTGAGGTTTGGTGAGGGACAGTGGTTTGTCCGTGCTCTGATCCCTTGGTATGAATGTTACATATCTGAATGCCTGGCCTCTGACGGTGTGAGTCTGGAGTGGAAACTCCATGTCGTAATGACTTCCAGCTCCACTGACTCAGCCCAGGTTTAGACCATGACTCAGCTGATTTACAGACGACCTCATGGATCCTGATGAAGCAGCAGACCTTTCCACCGCTGCTCAGACCTTCAGATCCACTCCTGCTGTTGGTGCTGATCCACTCGGAGAACTCTCAGAGTTTTCTCAGTAAATTAGGAACTTTTCCACGTGAGGTTCCCTGGATAATTTAACCCCCCCTTCCCCCCCACATCTTAGCACACCACTGTGGAAACTTTGTGTAAAACATAGTTTTAGACTTACAATAGTGACCAAATCACATCATCTTAGCAACTATTGTAAGTCTGAACAGATTATTTCAAAACAGTGAACTCACAAAATACAATCAGTGATGGAGGCAGCAGCTGTTACAGAGGCTAAAATCTCTGATTTTCTCTATGAGGTTTGGTCTTTTTACCACTCTAGAACTGAAGCAGCGTATGCTGACAAACTACTTTTTTGTTATTTTCACGTTTGCCTTAACGTTGTCTTTTTTCAGCTGTCTTTAACAAATGTGTTCTGATATTTGCGTCTCGTGGTAAAGTTGAAGGGGTTTGATCTGATTGGTCCTTTGTTGTGACGGAGCAGAACTCTGAAGGCGTCTGTGCCAACATGAAAGAAATGAAGGGAAACTGTAAATATTTGTTGTCTTAACATCAACATGTGTTGGACGGCAGATGAAAGAAAGACGACGTTGTCGAAACAAACGTCTGAACAACGACTTTAATGTGTCGGTGTGTTGATTTAACCATTACCAGATGTTCCACAACCGCGTGATTCATGCAAACACGCTATGTTGAACATAAACAGTCCAGATGAGAACGTTTCAGTGCCTTTGGTCGCTCAGGTCAACTTCCTGCTGCTTCCACGTGCTACAAGTGCAAAAGGACAACAGCACCGTTACTGTGCATATGGAGCGCCACCTTGTGGCCGGCTGCAGTGTAACGACTGAAACACCTGTGTGAAGAACTCCGAACCCTGAAACAAGATGAGAGGATCTGCTGTGACCACCAGTGTATCTGCAGGCTCAGTCTCCCATACCAAACCTCATAGAGAAAACCAGTGATTTTAGCAGCTGTTGGTCCACCTCTGAGTTCACCTCTGGAAATCCACTGGAGTTTAGGTAGGACTTCTTCGTCCTCTGACCACTTTAAACACTTGTTTTAACCCGGGGGTCAGGGGTCAGGGGTCAGAGGTCAGGCGTTTCCTTTTGGTTCGTCTGAGGTTTTTCTTCGACCTGCAGCTCAGATCTGACCCAGGTTTCTGTCCAACGTCCGGTCTGGACCTCCGTCTTCCTCGGTGTGATGTTGGTGTCCCTCAGGGTCTAAGGGACGTTTTTCAAGACTTTATTGTTTTGGACTTTTTTTCTCCTCTAATTCAGCTCCACACTTCAGAACCTTCACAGACTGCAGCAGCTTCTCACTCCTGCGTCCAACAATGAGACGAACGGACAAATGTTGTTGATTAAATGGAGCTAATATTAAAAGCAGGGGCAGGAATTTCTCTCTGTACGACTTTATTCAATTAGATGGTTGAGAATCTGAAGCTGGGCTCAGTAACTGCCCTCAGGTGGCGCTAAAGAGTTCATGTTTAGACCAACATTTGAATTTGACCTCTGTTCAATATAATAATTCAACCATCTGGTAGCTCAGACTATTTGGCTGTAGCTTTAGCTAACCTTTAGCTGGGGGCCATTTTTTTTTTTT